TCGTCCCTGTACACATAACAAACGAAATCTAGAAATTTAGCAGGAGCCGCATTGGAGTTTTCTCTACGAGAGGCGGCACACCTGCGACTTTCACACGAAACGCACTGTATCCGTGTATGGATGAGTCAACACTTGCTGCCATTTAATGCAATGTTTCCCTTACAAACCATTAGCTGCATTAGCTTCATTTGAACTCCTTTCAAGACGCACCCTCCTTTGGCCAGAGACAATTCCATTCATATTAGCCCAGTTAGCGGGCAGCTCTCCCTCTGCCATTTCTCACTCTCTCCCGGCTGTCATCGGCGAATTCCCAATAATTCCCGTAAATCTATCATAGATTGCAGCACTCAATTGTGCCAGCGACAATTTGTTGGCCCAACCGAAAGACAGTGGCCGAAAGTTCTGAGGGCGTTGCCGACACACAAAAGGAGACACAAAAAGTGAGCATAAAAATAAATTAGCCAGTTGCCTCTCGATCTGACCAGTAACAACAAAAAAATAGGTGTGATTCCACAGAATCAGTGGGGAGAGAGATGGCCGAAAGAAATTGTAACAAGTCAATTTTTCTTACTGCCGATAGGCAAGATGAAAGAGCCGAGAACCGACCCGACCCGACCCGACCAGACAATGCGTCTGGTTTGTCTGGGGTTTTCGGTCTGGTCAGCAGGCGAAAATAATGCCTGCTGCACAATTTTGGGACATGTTTTTGGAAAAATGTTTACAAAACATACTACCGACATATTCCTCCCCTAACTCAACTCCATTTAAACTAAATCAAAGCGCATTGTCTTGACTCAAAGAATAAATATTGCTTGGTGTTTTTTTTTTTTCAGTGGGGGCGTGGGAAATGGCAAATGGCAACAGAAAAAATCTAGGAATTCTTCCATTTAAATATACACTTTTTATATGCAGTGCATTAGCACTGAATATTATACATCAATTACTTTAAATATTATTTATTCCAAATTTGTGGCTGGCCACAAACGAAGAGTAGAGCCGCCTCAGCCATAAATCAGTGCAAAAAAAACAATAAAAGTATCTACATTTTTTGTATTTTTATTTATGTTTGTATGTATATGTAAATGTATGTACCCCTTCTACTATAGAAACGAATGGCGCACAATATTGCTGAACGCATAAATCTTGAGTAAATAATTTTCGCCGGCACAGCCGAAAATGACAAAGTTTATTTGGCGGTTTCTCTGTGCGGTGGCCGAGGGATTTTCCATGGTATTTTTGTTGTTGTTGTTTCTCGTTATTTGCGGATCCACGCAGATGGGCGGTTTTATGTGGCCATGCCAAAAATGTATTTATATACATTCCTACTTATATCATTTCAATTTAGTGCGAATAGAAACATCATTTCGTATTTTAAACGGATGACGATATGGCGGAGTAGGTGGTAAGCATTTGCGTATCTACTTATGTATGTACCTTTTGTGGCAGTCATGTTCATTTTATTTAAGTGACCTCCTCGTACACCTTTTGGTTACAATGTAAATACTTCAATAATCATTTTAAATATATCTAATTAATATCACATTACAGTGTACATTTCTAAAAGGGAATACACTGTCCTGAATTCAGATTCTTTCCAACTTTATTTTGTCACTTAAATCATTGAAGTACGATCTTTTGTTTGCATCAAGGTTAGAATGTTTGCAACAATAATAATTATGTATATAAAAAGTTGTAAGTGGAATAAATGAATAAATGGAATGTAGTAGATAGATATGTATGTTCATGCAAATATTTCAATTGGGTAATCCGTAAGCAGAATGTATTGATTGCCGACGGAATGTGATGGTAAAGTATGGGAAATAACATGATTCAATTTGAACTCCTAAGCTTTAAAGTAATCTGAAAAATGTAATACAAAAAGAAAGCATTCATAGGAACGAAAATAATGAAAAACAATTGTTTGCAAATAAGTGTAAGCCCTTAGTCACTTATTAAGAATCAATTGGAACTGGCAGAGCTTAAAACTGATTGACAAGATACCCAACAAAATATTCTCGAATTATATAAGAGTAATAATTTTCCCTTTATCACAAACAATATATACCATTACCCATGGGCTGCCTGAGAAATTAGTTTTGCTCTCGAATCAATCATCAACTGAAAGTTTCTCACACAAACAAACGAAATTGCGCGAGTTTCTCTTTCTCTCTGGGTTGGCACTACCCTCTATTTTTGCTCTTCCGTCCCTCCTCTGGCTGATGCCTCCTCCCCCTTTTTGGGTTTTTTTTTTGTTGGCAGGCCAAACAAAGAATTGAAATGAATACGAAACGAGAAAACCATTTTGGCCAAAGACGAGCGGTGCGCTGTTGCAACCCGCAGATTGCCACGGTGCCACTCCAATCCACTCCACTCCACTCCACTCCCCT